AATTATGAAATACTTATACTTTTCTATTAAGTACACCCTGTTATTTTTATTAACATGTGCCTACAAAGTCGACAATAGCCTGTCAGCCTGTAGGTCATATACGTATCTGACATTCCAATTGATACTTTACATAATAACATGATTAAGGGTTACATTCATACATCACAGGAAAGCACAACTGATCCAGCCCAGAAGTGGTAAACATGTGATTATTGGGACTTACCTGCAGGACAAATTAGAGTCAAACTGCCAATGTCTTTTGGATACTGAGCAGCGTATACCCCGGCCACACTACCACCCATCGATGTACCAACAAGATGGAAAGGCCTCTTGTTCAGGTTTATGCTCTCAACAAACTGTCAAGGAAGAAAACGTGTTATCCTAAATATGACACATTAGCTTAATGCAAATCGGTTTTGCCGGTAGTTTTCTGGGGGAGGCTCCGACACCACAGAACAACACAATTGTAAGTAGCAGCAGTTGAAGAACATGGATGAGACTCTATAAGAGGCAGACAAATGGTACAGGTAGAAAAGAGGAGTAGCCAAACACAGAACACGGGGAGAAGAGATAGAAGGCAGAGTAGGAGCTGATCTTTAACCAGGAGGAAAGATGAAGAGGAAGAGAAAGAGCTTATCATAGATTGGAGACTAAAGAGAGGAGGAAGAGTGGGAGCTTATTGGGAACAGTGGGAAAGAGAGAGGAGCAGAGTGGGAACTTATTGTGGACAGTGGGAAAGAGAGAGGAGGCAGAGTGGGAGCTTATTGAGGATAGCAGGAAAGAGAGAGGAGGCAGGAGAGAGGGAGCTTATTGTGGACAGTGGGAAAGAGAGAGGAGGCAGAGTGGAAACTTATTGTGGACAGTGGGAAAGAGAGAGGAGGCAGAGTGGGAGCTTATTGTGGATGGCAGGAAAGAGAGAGGAGGCAGAGTGGGAGCTTAATGAGGATGGCAGGAAAGAGAGAGGAGGCAGAGTGGGAGCTTAATGAGGATGGCAGGAAAGAGAGAGAGAGAGGCAGAGTGGAGCTTATGAGGATGGCAGGAAAGAACGTATTGAGAGGGAGGCAGAGTGGGAGACTTATTGAGGAAGCAGGAAAGAGAGAGGAGGCAGAGTGGGAACGTATTGAGGAAGCAGGAAAGAGAGAGGAGGAGAGTGGGAGCTTAATTGGACAGGAGGGAAAGAGAGAGGAGGCAGAGTGGGAGCTTATTTTGGACAGTGGGAAAGAGAGAGGAGGCAGAGTGGGAGCTTATTGTGGACAGTGGGAAAGAGAGAGGAGGCAGAGTGGGAGCTTATTGTGGACAGTGGGAAAGAGAGAGGGGGCAGAGTGGGAGCTTATTGAGGAAGCAGGAAAGAGAGAGGAGGCAGAGTGGGAGCTTATTGAGGATGGCAGGGGAAAGAGAGAGGAGGCAGAGTGGGAGCTTATTGAGGATGGCAGGAAAGAGAGAGGAGGCAGAGTGGGAGCTTACTGAGGATGGCAGGAAAGAGAGAGGAGGAGGCAGGGGAGCTTACTGTGGATGGGAAAAGAGAGGAGGCAGAGTGGGAGCTTATTGAGGATGGGAGGAAAGAGAGAGGAGGCAGAGTGGGAGAGAGCTTATTGAGGAAGCAGGAAAGAGAGAGGAGGCAGAGTGGGAGCTTATTGTGAACAGAGGGAAAGAGAGAGGAGGCAGAGTGGGAGCTTATTGAGGATGGCTGGAGGCAGATTGGGAGCTTATTGAGGATGGCTGGAGGCAGATTGGGAGCTTATTGAGGACGGTGGAGAGGCAGAGTGGGAGCTTACTGTGGACCATGGGAATAAGAGAGGAGGCAGAGTGAGAGCTCATTATGGACTAGATAAAAATGAGAGGAGGCAGAGTAAGAGCTGAGCATGTTAAGAAGTAGGTGCTATGCCAAGAAATAATCCCCACAAAAGGTGGAATGTCGGTGCTCTGGCTCTGTGTGTTTTCCCAGCAGAGATGCAACTGAATGATTAAGATTGGTATAGCTGGCACTCGTCTTCCCGAATAATAAACTTTATTGAACAAGTAAAATGTGCATATAAAATGGCTTACGCATTTTGGCAATAAGCCTTAGTCATAGCCATGACTAAGGCTTATTGCCGAAGTGCGTAAGCCATTCCAGAGCCAGGAAAAAGAGGGGAGACAGAGTGGCAGCTTTTCATAGACCAGGAAGAAAGGGCAGAGGTAGGAGTAAAGAAAGGAATATGGGGAAAAAAAAGAAATGAGGCAAAGTGGAAGCTGATCATGGACTTTCTGAGGAAAGCAGAGGAAACAGAGTGGGAGCTGATTATAGATTTGGGGAGGAAGAGGAAGGTGAAAGAGCTGGAGTCAATCTTTGACTGGGGAAGACAAAGATGGAAGATGGGAGCTGATCATGGACTGGGGGGGGGGGGGGGGAGGGAAGGCAAAGTGGGAGCTGATCATGGATCAGGAAAAAGAAAATAGACCAAATGGGAGCAGATTATGAATCAGGAAAGAGATGAGAGAGAAGGCAGAGTGTTTGCTGCTCATGGAATAGGAGGTAAAGAAAAAAAAAGGCAGAGTGGGAGCTGATCAAGGCTCTTAATTTATGTTAAGTACATGTAAAAGTGCATTAAAAATGATCTGTCAGAGAGGAATAACCCATGAAGATTTTGGAAACATTTTCATTCACCATTTCCCATTGACAAACAACAATTGCTTTAAAGTGTACCTGTCAGCTTTACTTACGTTACCCATAAACAATACAGTGTGGTCGATTGTGTGAGCACTATCTAGAAGCCAAATTTTTATTCTCTTTTTGGAAGTTGGTTGCATAACATTAATCCTTGAAATCCTTTTCTAATGACCCATGCACACGATAAGAAAATTTTGTGTCAATTTCCGTACGAGGAACAATCGCCAATTATCTGATAGTTAGTATTGTGCTTTCAATAGCCAATTCCGACTTTTCGGACAACAAAAACTGAGGGTGCAAGCTATAAAACTTTTATTGTACGTAAACACAATGTCCGATTTTCATTTAATGTGTACAGTAATCATATGGAAATAATTGAATAGAAAAAAAAAAACGAGCGTGATCAGAAGCAAAGAAGGACCCTACACTTCCTCTTCTACTAGTACGTAGCTACATTTGCCTACTTTTTCCTTTGTCAGGCTAGCATTTTTCTCACAAGTCAATACCATTCCGACTACATCATGATTTGCGCTTTTATGAAAAATCAGACATTTGGTCGTCCAATTTTCTCATTAAGCTTTAGAACTACAGAGGGTGGTGCCCAGAGCCAGGAAACACTTGGCCTGATGTTCTGAGTGATCAGATTTTGGGTTTTTAACAAAACATGAATACTGACATTCAAAGGGATTTCATAAACATGGTAGCTAGCTGGACAAAATGAATGCCAAATGTAGGCAATAAAAGAAGTACTTCTGAGCTGTATTTTCTAAATTAAGAGGTAAATCTTGATGGCTTGGAGCATACCTTTGAATTAGTAACATTTTCAGGTAATTAGGTTACAATGGTAGTACATTCAAAGATGAAATGATAATTATGACATTAATTCACGAGGATGTGTTTTGTTAAATTCATCACAACTTTGCCTGAGCTTTTTGATTCTATTAAGTGAAAGATGAAGCAGATGGAATGTAATCATCTTAGACGTGGCATGACAGGGAAGATTTTAATCTGGGAAGAATTAGGGAGCAGTGGCAGATCTGTAGAAGAGAATGTGACGTGTTTTATCAGCAAGAGCAATTTATCAGAGTGCTGTTAATGTGATTTTGTTGTTCTTCTCTCACATCAGATTTACATTCACAAATACATTTATGGAACAGTTACGTAGTTGTGTTGAAGCTGGCTTCAAGGTTGAGCAGAGCTTAGGGGCTCACCAGTCCTCTGTTTTTAAATATCACATCAGATGATAATATTTTAGAAAGCCACAAACTAATTCATAGCTGTGAGCACTGCTGTCATCAGGGGAGAATTCTGACCAAATAATTACATTAGTTAGGCATTGCATGTGATGATCTTCAAATGAATCCTACAAAATAAACTTCAGCTCATGTAGGGTTCAGTATGAAGTACGTTTCGCATTTCAAGCCTAAGTTTGCATCTCTTAAAGAGTAGCTCTCGTCCATGCCTTACATTTTAGTTTTAAATAGACTGAAGAAGGATTACAATCTATGTCAGATTTTTTACTGCTGTCTTCTTTCAAGTTGAAAATGGTTGTAAACCCTTACATATACCCAGAGAAGAGAATAGCCTCAGATGATACACAGAGATGATATGTAAGCTGTACCTGTTTATCTGCAGCCCTCTGTCTTGTACAGCCTTCTAAAGTATACACTTTACACAGAATTTCTGATTGTCAGAAGTTGGGGGGCTTTGATGTCACGCTCCACAGCACAGAGGGAACAGCTGTGGAATGGACACCCCCCTCATCACAGTCTCATAAGGAAACATGGACAGCTGAGGCTGTCTATCACAGGCTGTGTCCTGGAGCATCCTTCCCTTCCCCCTGGATCCCTTGGAGTCGGCATCAACTGTCAGAAGTGCAGATAGCAGAGGAAGGAGAAAGGAGACAGAAATCACACTAAGTGTTTTGGATTGAGGCATGTACACACTATAGAATGGTTTGCTTTGTTCATTTTTTTATTTCGGCAGTGTACAACCACTTTTCTCATTATACCTTGTCTCTGGAATAGCAGTCACCAGAGAAAAGTCTTCAATAAAAACACAGAGACAGCAATATAAACCTGAGATAGGTATTAACTCTTCCTCCTTCTATCCAAAAGTAAAATAAAAGGGCCTCCTACCTAGACATTTGTTCATGTGAATATTGTTGAAGGAGAAAAATCATCTCATTTAATTGTTATAGTTTCAACAGAAATCACATTACTAAATAACTAGGTAACTGGCCCCAAAGTAGGCAAAAGAGGATACCCAGAACAGCATTTTGTCCTGGATAGAACTTTATGTTAGCCCATCTTAATTCACCAATCCAATCCACCGAGAATGGTAACTTTTAAACAAAGAGTGATGCATTTTCATGGACACAGATTCCCATGACAGGCCAGATAGTAGGTGTTCCTATGGAGGTGGTTCACATACATGCAATTAAACTGCACTGCGTTTTGACTGCATTTCTAAAAGGAGTCCTGTGAGAGTTTGGAGCGATACACTACAAACTCACAGCTCATAGAGTATAGTGACCTTCTGAGATGAGAGGAATGGGTTTTTTTGCATAGCATAGAAGAGGGAAAACAGAGGAGGAAAACAAGAAAAAAAAAATTCTGAACCAATGGACTGCAGACATAGTACAGGAGATGACCAGAGACTGCAGACACAGTACAGGAGATGATCAGAGACTGCGGACATAGTAAAAGGAGATGACCAGAGACTGCGGACATACTACAGGAGAGATGACCAGAGACTGCGGACATACTACAGGAGATGACTAGAGACTGTGAAGAGATAGTAAAAAGAGATGACCAGAGACTGCAGACGTACTACAGGAGATGACCAGAGACTGCGGACGTACTACAGGAGATGACCAGAGACTGCGGACGTACTACAGGAGATGACCAGAGATATGCGGAAGCCCATACTACAGGAGATGACCAGAGATGCATGTGGAACCAAGGCAGACAGGAGATGACCAGAGACTGCGGACGTACTACAGGAGATGACCAGTGACTGGGAAACTACAGGAGACCACCCTTGGTCCATGAGAACTGCTCGGACGTACTACAGGGGATGACTACAGGAGATGACCAGAGACCATAAAATGACAGTAAAAATTAAATATAAGACAATTGAAAGTACCGTATTTTTCGCTCCATAAGACGCACCTGACCATAAGACGCACCTAGATTTTAGAGGAGGAAAACAAGAGAAAAAATATTCTGAACCAGTGGACTGCAGACATAGTACAGGAGATGACCAGAGACTGCAGACACAGTACAGGAGATGACCAGAGACTGCGGACATAGTAAAGGAGATGACCAGAGACTGCGGACATACTACAGGAGATGACTAGAGACTGCGGACATAGTAAAGGAGATGACCAGAGACTGCGAACATACTACAGGAGATGGCCAGAGACTGCGGACACAGTACAGGAGATGACCAGAGACTGTGGATACAGTACAGGAGATGACCAGAGACTGCAGACCTTTGGGGAGGGGGGGGGGGGCGGGTACCCGAATTTGACAGGTACCCACTACCACTTCCGTGTAGATGTCCTCCCCCCTCCCTCCCCGTAGTCTTGTGGGACACATGATAGGTCCCTGAAGACTATGGGGCCATTCACAAAGCGCAGCGCTTCTCACGCATGCACAGTGGGCACCCGGCTGTGAAGCCACAAGCTGTTACAGCCGGTGCCCACACTGAAGATGCCGGCGTGAGGGAAAGAAGACGGCCGGTGAAAGCGGAACACCACTGGACCGCGGAACAGGTAGGACCAAGGAGCGGGTTCTTCTGCACAGTAGAGCCGAGCGGCCGGCCCGGTATTCTAACACAGCGGCAGCGGGGAATACCAGGCCAGCCGATCCATATTCGCTCCATAAGACGCACACACATTTCCCCCCATTTTTGAGGGGAAAAAAGTGCATCTTGTGGAGCGAAAAATACGGTATGTATTTTGGGTACAATGGCCTTTTTACTTTCAAGATGAACAGTAAAATATAATCTCAGAATATAAGAATGTTCCAAAATCTTATAACCTAAAACATGAAACACCCCCTCCATCCACCCCAATCATTATTAGTTAATTCACCCTATTCCATTTACAGACATAACATAGTATAAGCAAGTACCTGGTGTATCCGGTTCCCTGTCCGATGACTGAGTAGTCATCTAAGGGTGAGCGCGTGGTACCTTCATGACCGGGTAGATCCACACAAATCAGATGCAAGTTCTTAGGAAGGAACTGTAAATAAACAGCATTTCTAAACGGACTATATTCACATCAGCAATATACAGTATATATACAGTACTGTGCATAAGTCATAGGCAGGTGTAAGAAATATTGTAAAATAAGAATTATTTCAGAAAAAGTGTTAGTTCCATTTATCAAAATGGAAAGTAAATGAGCAGAAGAGAAAATCCAAACCAAACAAAAGTTTGGTGTGACCACACTTTGCCTTCAAAACAGCATCAATTCTTCTAGGTGTACGCTCTAACAAGAAGGGCCCTCTGTTTCTTCTGGTACCAAATTGTATTAGAACTGTAATGTCTGCCTTAATTTTGCAAAAGCGCTGCAAAAACTGTTGGTGCTTTAGAAATCCTGTATAATAGTAATAGGTGCACTTGTACTCTTGTTTTTGAAGGACCTCAGCAGGTAGGTTGTTCCAAACATCTTGGAGACTAACCACAGATCTTCTGTGGATGTAGGCTGCCTCAAATCCTTCTGTCTCTTCATGTAATCCCAAACAGACTCCATGATGTTGAGATCAGGGCTCTGTGGGGGCCAAACCATCACTTCCAGGACTCTTTACACTTTGTTCTTCTTTACACTGATGGTAGTTCTTAATGACATTAGCTGTATGTCTGGGGTCGTTGACCTGCTGTAGAATACATTTGGGGCCAATCATACACATCCCCGATGGTATGGCATGATAGAGAAGTATCTGCTTGTATTTTTCAGCATTAAGGACACCATTGGTCCTGACCAATTCTCCAACTCCATTTGCAGATAGGCAGCCCCAAACTTGCAAGGATCCTCCACCATGATTCACAGTTGCCTGCAGACACTCATTGCACTGCTCTCCAGCTCTTCACAAACAAAACTGCTGCCTGCTACAGCCAAATATTTCAAATTTTGATTCATCAGTCCAGAGCACCGACTGACATTTTTCTGCACTCAGTTCCTATGTTTTTCTTGCATAGTTGAGTCACTTAGCCTTGTTTTCATGTCCTATGCACAAGGAAATATAACTGCAGCAGCTTTCATTTACCCCTCTACACCTGAATTGGTATCTTCTAAAAGGGAAGAGCTTCAACTCCTCTACATAGTGTCAGAGCTGGGTCCCTTCCTCACACAACATCTCTACACCCAATCCTACTATTATCTGCCTCGACAGCCAGCAGAAATATGGTAGAGACATGAGGGTGCTGGCAATCTCCTTCACCACTAGGAACTGCTGGAACTTTGTATAGTCACCAGCACTTCATATAGCTAGGCACCAAATAGGAGAAGGAAAAAATGTTTCTTGAACTATATTGAGCCTTAGGACTCCTCTCCTAATTTTGAGGATTGGTTCTGCACCCCTTACCATGCTACTCTAGGCACTGGCCTGCAAGTACCATTATGGTGAATACAGCCCTGAATATAGGGAACTGGTCCACTTCTGCTTCACATATTGTATATCAGGTTTTTTTTCAATCAACTCACTTCCAATATATAGCTATGAGCAATTAAATATTCCAATAAACAAGGTTAATGTCCTCTCTCACCTTGGCTATAGCCAGCCACATGTCCTTATGGGCAGAAAATCCATGTAACATAAGGATGGATGGTTTGGGCCCCGGTCTACCTCGACATGTGTAGCAGAATCTGTAGTTTCCATAGTTGGCAAATTTTACCTGCATTCCTAAGGCCCTGCGCCAGTACCTGAAACAAAGAACAGCGTTGGAAATCACAATCAGACAAATGAAAGTGTTACTAAACCCAGGACCCCGCATCCACTATATCCGGTCTCCCACAGTACACAGAACATGGAAATGCAATTATTTTAGTAAATATAAACTGCTAAATACCTTTTCTCATCAGCAGTTAGAGCAGTCTTGTGACTTCTATCAGTGTCCAGCCAAGCACTAGCTAAAGCTTGTAGGAGAAGTTTAGTACAGGTCAAGGGTGGAAACATGTAGCATGTTCCAGCTCCTGCACCTTCTTTCCCCCCCATCCACTCCCTCCATGTGACATCAGGCAGGGGATCCACTCCCTGCACCCGCTGTCACTTTTTAAAAGTGGCAAGGCTGTGTGGGGCTCCACCCAAATAGCCACATCATTCATTCACAGTTTCCTGTAAGTGTTAATAAACCCAGGACCCCGCATTTCTGGTCTTCCACAGTACACATCACATGGAAGTGCAACTATTTTAGTAAATATAAACTGCTAAATACCTTTTCTCATCAGCAGTTACAGCAGTCTTGTGACTTCCAGCAGTGTCCAGACGAGCACATGTTAAAGCTTGTAGGAGTTTTCATTCTGCTCTAGGAGGATGCAAAACCCCTGACCTGTGCTGATTGGCCCTATGCTGATCACATGCACTGTCCCAAGAAAAAAAAAAAAAACCTCTCTAGCAATACACACCAAATTGAGCATGTGCAAAATGTCTGTCTTCTCAGGAGATAAGAGCAGGTTGCTTGAAAAAGAGGAGGAACCGAGAAGAAAGGATCAAAGGGCCTTTTTACACAATGCAGAGGATTAACCCCTTAGGTTCTACAGTGAGTATAACAAGCATTCTTTACTGCATATACAGACTGATTTTACTGTTGTGGGTTTAGTAACACTTTAATGAAATCAAATCAATTTTAGGGCTGAGCTATAATGAGAACTATGCCTATGACTGTACATTGATCTTGTCAAACTGTTAAATCTGTTAAAATAAATACTCATTTGGTAGTTAATTATCAAGGAGATTCCGGTTAGTCTCTTGGCAGTTTGTTTCAGAGTGATGGGCTTCAGAATGGGCACAACATATGGCAAAATATTGACAGGCAGAAATAACATAAGAATAGTATACAGAATCATCATATGCCTCGATATAGAGACACAGTGCAGATCAAGGTATGGGGAGTCAATCCCTGGGGTCAGCCCCCTGACCATGTTTATTGTGGTTCTCGACATCCTGAGTCCTGGCTCCCAGGAACTTTAGCTTAGTTTATACTGTGCAAAGGGTAACCATGTGGTTGCGTAGAACAAAAGGTAACCTAATGCACATCCAAATCACAACCTCAGTGCATAAAGGGTTAATTCCATAGAACCACAGATTGGGTTTCCTCAAGAAAGACCCAGGAATCATACTTCCATAAATAAATAGTAGGCAGCACTCCAAACAGCTAACGTTTTGATTTTCATAAATTTATGAATGAAATCATCATATAAAAAACAGACAAGTACATCATTGTACATAGACAGGGAGGAGATCCAGGTTAAAAGAGTGCAGGGAGAAGAGGCTGTGGGGACTGGTCTAGCAGTGCTTAGGAGCCTGCAGGAGCAGAGGGTCGGGTAGGTAAAACTGCTTTAACAACCCCCTAGACCTAAACAAACAGTTAAAGTATAACTAGGCACACCTTCTTTTAGTTTTTGCATAGAGTGGAGAGGGATTAGAACCCCTGTCAGTTTTCTATTGAAGTCTGTGTCCCAGTTAGGGAGATTCACCCTCTCCGTTTGTTCGGTCTATCAGTGAAAGTACAAGAAAATCTAACATTTTGGCCTGTCCCCAGAAAAGTAACAGAGGAGAAATCTTCCATTGGGGACATTAGTTCTGGTGACCTGGAAGTCCCCAGGAATTCCCTTAATTTGCAGGGATTTCCAATCACTTCTTGTTTGACAATGGGACAAGAAGTGAAGGGAAATCTCCCCAATGGGACACATATGGCATAAAATAAACTGAGAGGGGTTAATTTTGGGCTGTCCCCAGAAAAGGAATAGAGGGGAAATCTTCCAATGGGGACATTAGTTCTGGTGACCTGGACGTCCCCAAGGAATTCCTTTAATTTGCAGGGATTTCCGATCACTTCCTGTCTGACAATGGGACAAGAAGTGAAGGGAAATCTCCTCAATGGGACACAGATGGCAAAAAATAAACTGAGAGGGATTAATAACCTCCCTTACTCTATCTAAAATGTAAAAAAGTGTTGCCTGTAGTTCTACTTGAAATCATCCCTTGCAGCACACTGCAAAGGTTCAAGTTTCCTGGAGTTCAGCCTTTAAGAGAAACAGTCACCAGTGGGCGTTTGTAATCATCAGAATCACTACTTTTGGGCTCCAGGTACCATATACCAGTGTCCTATATTACAGTGCGTGCATTTCCATCTCACATTCAATAGCGCAGCCTTACCAATAATAAATCTTGATGAGAGCGGCGGGCCACAGGAAAAAGGAAGTCACAAAAGCCAAAATCGGGATCAGCAAAGTACCTCCAGCTATTAGGAACATATTCAGTACATCCAGGTCCATGGTCCTTAGACCTTGTGCGGAAAGAGAGGAAACAGACTTTAGTGTGAAATGCAGCAGTGACAGTACAGCACTTCTTCCAATATCCATACATCTGTGTGCAGAGAATCAGCGCAGGTGTCTATAGTTCTGTAGAACAAGAAATGAATGGGCAGACATATGATTTATATGACAGAAGAATCATGAACAGCTAATTCTCAGAGCAATCATCCAGCATTAAAAAAAACACACTATTACTCCACACTAGATTTATTCTTATATTCCTTACTTGGGCACATTTAATTTCCAATTGTTCTGTATTTTTATTGACTTACAGAAGTATTTGAACACCCTGCGATTTTGCAAGTTCTCCCACTTGGAAATCATGGAGGGGTCTGAAATTCACATTGTAGGTGCATTCCCACTCAGAGACAGAATTTAAAAAAAAAAAATTCAGAAAATCACATACAATCATACAAATCATAAAAATCATACAATGTGATTTCCTTAATTTTTTTGTTAAATTCTGTCTCTCAGAGTGGGAATGCACCTACAATGTGAATTTCAAACCCCTCCATGATTTCTAAGTGGGAGAACTTGCAAAATCGCAGGGTGTTCAAATACTTCTGTTCCTCACTGTACATTGTATTGTGAATCGTTATCTTTTAGTCCTCATGCACATTGGATGTTTTACAGTGGCTGTTTTTAGCTTTTGATGTTTTTTTTTTTTTTTTTTACAGCCAGTAAACCCCCCAGCATGTTATCCTATGTGTCCATGCCAGGGGCGGACTGACAACTCATGGGGCCCCCGGGAAATAGGCGATCATGGGGCCCCTGTGTCCTTGCCCAAACTCAAAAAAGCCTATGAAAAAAGGTACCAGGGGCATCTCAAGGGGCTCCTACTGACCCCGGGCCCTCGGGCAGTGCCCGAGTTTCCAAATGGTCAGTCCGCCCCTGGTCCATGCACGAATAGACTGTAAATCAATGTTTTTTGGCAGAGGTATTTTTTGGCTGGAAAAACCCCCCAGAACTAGTTGGTTTCTAGAAGAGTTTTTTAGCTGTAAAATTGCTTTAACGCTGAAAAACGGTAAACCGCTGTAAACCAGCATTTTTGGACCTTTTTTGACAAAAAAGTTTTTTTGGTCAAAACCTCTAAAAAACACGAACACAAAAAAGAGTTTTTTACCTGTAAAATTGCTCTAATGCTGAAAAACGGTAAATCGCTGTAAAACCAGTGTTTTTGGACCTTTTTTGACAAAATCGGTCAAAACCTCTAAAAAACACGAACACAAAAAAACACAGCTAAACGCTAATAAAAAAAAGCTAAAAAACGTTTTTAAACATGACTTTACATACCAGCATTATTAAAACACCCAGTGTGCATGAGCCTAATAAATACAATTTACAGAAACGTGAAACAAATCACACAGCCAAGAATTATAAGAAATTAAAGAACTACATATTCCAAAGTTGTCTCCGTACTGAACCTTCATTTCTTAGCCACTGTACCTAGGTAAAGCCTTGTACACACGGGCCGAATGTCAGATGGCATTGGCCGGTTCAATAGAAACTGGCCGACATTCGGCCTGTGTGTATGGCAGCCCATCTGACAGAAGCCAGCCAATCGACCAGCTTCTGTCAAAGGGGCATGATTGAAAGAGGTCTGCCAATTGGCTCCCGATCAGCCATTGGCTAAGAGAACTGATTGGAGTGTACTGGCGGGGGCTGGTCAGAACACAATAGCACAGCGGGGGAGATTGTTGAACGAACATCATATAGTTAGTACAGTGGCTCCTCCTGAGATGTCAGGGTTTTTTTTTGTTCAGCCTGCTGGGTTTGTGCCACTAATAGTCCACCCAAAAGTGGGAATGATATATTATAGATAAAGTTTGCAATAAATGGGATGGCAGATTCCCCAACTTGCACTAGACAGTAGAAATGTATGGTGGAAGAACCTCATTTACATTTCCTCTGTATGGCCAATTTAAGGCATTCAGCATGGCAATACCTACCTAAAGCTGGCCAAAGGTGGACTGAAATTCAGTAGGTTCAGCAGGGACTACACGAACGTTGATCTATCTATAGCCATTCCTGCTTGACAGAAGTCAATCTAACAATCGACTTCTGTCAAACGAGAATGTTGGAAAATATGAATTCAATCAGCAGCTGCAGCCAATCAGCGTAGTGCTGATTGGTGTATTCTGACAGTGGAGGAGTGCTGCTGTCAGAATACATTAGCATAACAGGGAGACTTCCTCCGTCCACCTTGATTGTGTAGGTGGGGGAACCAATTAGTTTGTTTTCAATTAGCCCGCTAGCTGATCAAAAAATGATCCATGTATGGGCAGTTTAAGGGCATTTTCAGTCCCTAGTTTCCTATGTGTGTACTTCAAGAACCAAGACCTCCCGATCATAAATCCCAACTCTTCTTCTGTACACCTGGGTGTTTTGGGTGTTGTTCACATTTGTGTCCCAGCTCTCCTACTTCTCCATATTATAAAATGAAAACCCCACATAACAGCCATAGCATTGTGTGCAGATTCAGGAACTAAGAGCTGACCAATCGAGTACATAAAAGATATACCAAAACTGTCAGGTGGTTTAAATATGTAAACCCAACATTTCATATTCCTGATATGTGCCTGCTGTACCAAGTACTTAAATGAAAAAGTATCCTGTACTCTTTGTATTGCTTCCTGGGGTTCCTGCCAGTCCCTCCGCTTTCCTATCAAAACTGACTATACTAGGCATGAAAGCACACCATGGTCAGTTCTCTAGCTGTGCTGGAAACTCAGTCTGCTCTCCTTCAATGATCAGACATCTGCTGACATGCCCTTCCCTACCGCACAACCATTCACTGGGAAGACCAGTGTGCTGCAGTTTCTCCACCCTCACCTCTCTATGCAGCTGAGAACAGAGGGTGTGATCACTTATAAAAAAAGGAGGGAAAATATATTTATAATGTTGTTTAGATCTACACACAACTGTTTTACCTTTCATGTCTATTTTAAACTGTATGGGTTGTTTTACAAGGTGAGGGTTTACATATACTTTAATTCTCCAGCTTTGCTTACTGAACTTCAAAGCATTAAAGCAAACCTATTGCAGATTCAGTAGGATTACTGCATTACACAGCAAACTGAAACAATGCAAAATTATTCTTTGCTTGTTAACTAATCCTTCCACAGTAGAAAAGCAGAAAAGTCAATTAGTAATCATAATATGTACAGTTGTGTCTCCAAAGAATGCTGTAAAGGTCGTTTAGTTTCAGAATAAATCCACAAAGCGTTGTAACAATGCAAAGTTTAAGTAAATTAGAAGTCAGAAAAAAATAAGTACCAATTAGGCATTAATTGGGGCTGTGATACAAGAGATCTAGAGTATTATGAAGTATCAGATGAATGGTACCATGCAATGAGAAAGATTTGGCAATGGCATTACGTGATGCAATCAGTGAATCGCTGCATGCTCTAGTGCTCTTGATGACTTTCCCATTAAAGTACAAGGTATGACTTTAATCTCTTGACCCTGAGAGATGTAGCCATTTGTCGATAGTCACTCATTAAGCCAGTGCTACCTGGAAGATTCTTAGCTCAGTCTTGATACTAAGATCACTAGCAATTTTTCGCTGATAGTAGCAATTAATTGCCAAGCAAGAAAAACACATTACTCCCTACAGAGTAGGTTACACCAATAACAAAGTAGGGATCCGGTTCACAAAATCACACCACTCCTATCTTGTGTTTATTGATTGTTACAATATGCTACTGTCAGGGACCATCACGACGCATGGGTCTGCACATGCGTAGGTGTCTGTCAAGACATGCAGGCAGCAGGGCACTAGGACCCAGGCGCACCCGTCACCTATGACGGTGCTGGGCAGGCACTAGGACCTAGGCTGCACCTGTCAGGTGCAGGGCGGGCTACTTAAACCAGCCCTGCACAGACACAAGTTGCCGTATGGTCTGATCTTGTTCCTGTGTTCCTGTATTGCCGTTGTTTGAGATTCGTTGCTGACCTGCCTGGACCTGACCTCTGCTGACTTTTCCTGCTCTGACCCCTGGCTAAGTTCGACCTCTCTTTTGGATATCCCTACCTGATCTGAACTACTGGTACCGACCCCGGCGAGTGACCTGACTATCCTTCTGCCTGCTGCCTTGTACTACACTGACCCCTCTGTTACCGACCTGGCCCGTTTGACCACGCTATTGCTCAGCCATCCATCCGACCCGCACGGATTAGCTGCTACTCTCCAGACCTGTCTGCCTCTTCACGTCAGGCTCTCTACCTGTCATTACCTCTGGTGATTCCTCTACCTCAGGTGGGTGTACTCAGGGGCCGCGACCTGGTCACTGTCCGCTCCAAGCCCATCCCCACCATCAGGGGCTCTGGTGAACAAGCGGACTGGGGCTTAGACTCCGCGCCCTGGGGAATCCTGTCCTGTGGACTGCTAGAGTACACCAGGTGGTCCATAACAGCTACTGCATGCTATTTCTGTAGGTAAACCTACATGCCATCTTTGTCGCAAAGGGAAGCTTTCCCTTTACCTTCTGTCCCATAGACACAAAAAGGGAGTGAGAAATCTCTCAAAAGCGAGGGGAACCCTCTGTAAAGTCTCCCCAATGAAAAATTCTCTCTTCATGTTCCGGCAACAATGCAAAATTTTAGGTTTAACCTCCGTTTTGAAAGTGTACAATCCAAACGCACATGTTTCTGCATTAAAAATGGCTGTGTGTATAAGTGGGTGCTGCAGCAACCGTTGGCTGGAACTGAACAGAATCGGCAAGAGAAAATGCCACCAGCACACCAATGATCACCAATATGGGTCCAAACGTTTTAATGAACGATCACATAGTTACAGCAAGGCAACGTTTCGGAGTCTCGCAGGACCCCTTCATCAGGCATGTGACCTAACCTCAGTTTTGGTCCCAGTGACAGGAGTAAAACAGGAGACATCCTCTCTACTAGGACACTAGCAAATAATTGAGGACACTAGCAAAAACACAGGCATACTGGGCTGTCCA